ACTTTATTTACTAATATTTTGTTAGGGATCTTTGCATCCATGTTCATGAGAGGGATTGATCTATAGTTTTCCTTCTTGACTGTCTTTGTCTGGTTTTAGTATTGTCTTATTCTCGCCTGATAGGCTTAGGAAATGTTCACTCTGTTTCTGGTTTCTAGAAGTGATTGTAGAGTATTGGTATTATTTCCTCCTTAAGTATTTAGTCCAGTTCACCAGTGAGAGCTTCTGGGTCTTGTGCGTTCTTCTTTGGAAATTTTATAATTTTTGAATTAATTACTTTAATACAGTGGTTCTCAACCTTCCTAATGCTGCGACCCTTTAATACAGTTCCTCATGTTGTGGTGACCCCCAATTTTTTTTTTTAAATATATTTTATTGATTTTTTACAGAGAGGAAGGGAGAGAGATAGGAGAGTCAGAAACATCGATGAGAGAGAAACATCGATCAGCTGCCTCCTGCACATCTCCTACTGGGGATGTGCCCGCAACCCAGGTACATGCCCTTGACTGGAATCGAACCTGGGACCTTTCAGTCCGCAGGCCGACGCTCTATCCACTGAGCCAAACCGGTTTCGGCGACCCCCAATTTCATTGTTACAAATTGAACATAATTAAAGCTTAGTGATTAATCACAAAAACAATATGTAATTATATATGTGTTTTCCGATGGTCTTAGGCAACCCCTGTGAAAGGGTCATGACCCACAGGTTGAGAACCACTGCTTTAATAGATATAGGCCTCTTCATATTATCTGTTCATGTGTGAGTTTGATAGTTGATCCATTTCATCTAAGTTATCATATTGTGGGCATAAAGTTGTTCATAGTATTCGTCCATAATATCAGTATATCACCATTTTTTTTCTACTGGCTGTATTGGTTTCTTAGAGATGTACTAAAATCAACTATAACTATAATTGAAAAATAATCTATAATAATATAAGTGTAATATGCTAATTAGACCTGACATCATTCTGGACATCATTCCGGACATCTTTCTGGACAAAGCCAGGGCCAGATGGAAGGCCGGGTCCTGGGTGCCAGAAGGAAGCTGGTGCTGGCAGCCGGGGAGAGGAAGGCCTATTCTTGCATGAATTTTGTGAATTGGGCCTCTAGTCCTATATAATAAAAGGGTAATATGCAAATCGACCAAACAGCAGAACAGTTAGTCACCATGATGCACACTGACCACCAAGGGGCAGATGCTCAAAGCAGGAGTTGCCCTCTGGAGGTCAGTGTGCTCTCACAGGGGGAGCGTCGCTCAGCCACAAGCCGGGCTCACCACTGGCAAGCGCAGCGGCCCGCCTCCGCGGCAGTGCTAAGGATGTCCAAGGATGTCCAACTGCGGCTAAGCAGTCAGTTGGACATCCCCTGAGGGCTCCGGAACTGCAAAAGGGTGCAGGCCGGGCTGAGGGGGCCCCCCCAGAGTGCACAAATGTTGTACACCGGACCTCAATTCATATAATTGTGTCCATTTTTGTTTGGGGGATATATTATTTATTTAAATCCTCTAGATCAGTGGTTCTCAACCTTCTGGCCCTTTAAATACAGTTCCTCATGTTATGACCCAACCATAAAATTATTTTCATTGCTACTTCATAACTGTAATGTTGCTACTGTTATGAATCGTAATGTAAATATCTGATATGCAGGATGGTCTTAGGCGATCCCTGTGAAAGGGTCTTTTGACTGCCAAAGGGGTTGCGACCCACAGGTGGAGAACCGCTGCTCTAGATGAATTATTCCTTTCATTCATTAGGATGTCATCTCTGTCATATCTTTTTTCATTTATATTCAAACTTTTTATGTCATTTAGCTTTAAGAGTATTCCTTTTATATCGTGTCAGATAATTTCTGCCTTCTAATAAGTGAATTTATTTCTATTATTTTGCTTGTTAATTTGAAGTTGTTTTGGCTATCTTATTTTGTGTTTTGTATTTACTATGCCTTTTCTTTAGTTCTTATGACTCTTGTTGGATTGAATGAGTTTATATTGTCTTCACTTTTACTGGTGTGGAAATACTGCTTTAACTTGTGTTTTTTTTTCGTGCCTGTGAAGTTAAATATTGGATTATACTTTCCTTCCTCTTTGTTTGAACACCCCTCTTTGTTATTTTTATAGTCTGTACTAATTTAGATTTATCATTATGTTTTCTAATTTCTTATAATTCTTTTTTTCCAAGTTCAGTTTTCTTCTTCCTGAAGTGTAGACCCTTCATTACTTATTTCTGTGAAAATTTGAGTCTTAAATTCTCCATTCTTTTTGAAAAATTTCTTCCTTTGCACTTATTGTTCAAAGACAGTTTAGCTGAACATAGAATTCTAGATGGTCTATTTTTTCCACTCCACAGTTTAAAGAATATTCTCTTGGTCTTTGAAGTTCTGCAGTGTCACTATGATATATACAGGTGTGGATTTGTTTTCTTAATTCTGCTTGAGATTCATATCTTTCTTTATTTCTGGAAAATTCTGAGCATTATCTCTTTAAATATTGACATTCCCTCCTTATCTGGGATTTCCTTCTGCACCATCTATTAGGTAGATATAAATCTGTCTTTGTCATGCAGTCTATTTTTAGTGGATGTTAATCTCTCTTTTGTATTGTTATCTTTCTGTTTCTCTGTACCTCCTGGTAGGTGATTTCCTCTTATTTGTCTCGTAGTTCATTCATTCCTTCTTCAGTGCATTCTGTTGTCCAACTTATCCATTGAGTTTGAGTTTTTAATTTCAATGACTGTGTTTTGATTTTTGTAATTTCTGTTTTGTTCTTTTCCATATTTAGTGTTCTTTTGTAATGTTTGGTTCTTGCCTGATGGTTTCTATTCTTGCTTTTTTGTTTTTTTAATGAAAAATGTTTATTTAATTGTTTTATTATCTTCAGTTCTTATACAGGTTTTTTTGTTTGTTTGTTTGTTTTGTTTTTTTTTGTATCTGCTGATTATCCCTCTTGGTGACTTGGTTCTTTATGCAATTTTGTTATCTTTGTGAAGTCATCTTTAGCAGGGTTTACTTTCTGAGAGAGTTCTATATATTGTCAATGAGTAAATGTCCCTCAAGATGGTTTTGCATTTAGCTTAGAGTTTTGACTGGTTCTAGGCCAACTTTCTATATTAAAGTTTTGGCATAGAGCCTCTATATACCATCTTGGTAAGAAAAACTTGGACCACATCTCTGTATGCTCTTTCTACTCACAAAAGATTCTTTTTCACCAATGGCTGTAGTTTCATTTCTGTTCACCTGAAGTTATGGGTAGTGTTTTTGTTTGTGTTTAATAAGTGTAGCTCTCCATGACTCCCACACGTGCATCATTTTTTAGCTGTTAAGCTACTTTGTCTTCTGTTTCTGTTAATTGTTCTCACTTTTAGTTGCTGCTTTATTTTTGGTGTCAGGTTATTTTCCTTGTCTGAGTCTGAGCTTAGCAATGTAGCCTTCTTTACATTACATCTATTGAGCTTAGCAGTATAGCCCTCATTACATTATTTCTGTGGGTTTGAGCAGAATAAAAGCCTTCTGCATCATCTTGGTCTACTACATTTCCCAGAGGCTTCTAATGGTTCTTGTTAGGGAAATATGAAAACTCAGATAATGCCATCTTAAATGGAACTTTAAGCTTCTATTAGTTATTTTTCTTTTGATTAATTCATCCTAAGATGTAAAAATATTTTCTGAAACATTGGACTATTTTAAGAAGAGATATGTTCTGATTTTTTTTTTTCAGGGGTGGGTGGTTGGTGTTGTAAGTGGTTTGTTTACTTCAGAATCACATATCGGGGGGAAAACAGCAAAGTGTCTAATTTTTAAAAATTGCTCAACATATTTATTTCATATAACTGCAAAAGATCCTAAATATTACAGAAATTTTTAAATTCTATTTTAGTCTATGAATAGAATAAAAAAGTTACATGCTTTTGAATATGTTTATTATAGTGTTACATTTATGTATGTATGTATGTATGTATGTTAATTCTCACCTGAAGATATTTTTCCCGTTAATTTTTTTGAGAGTGGAGGGGAGAGACAGAGAGAGAAGCATGGATGTGAGAGAGACAAATTGGATTGGTTGCCTCTCGCATGCTCCCTGTCTGAGGGAGTGGGGATGAGATCAAGCCTGCAACCTACGCTCTATCCACTGAGCCAAACAAGCTAGGGCTATATTGTTACCCTTAAAAGTGAAAAAAAAGGGGGGCGGGGGACTTGAACTAACAATAGGAATAGATTGATACATACATTATGTTAACTTCAACTTATTAAAGTATTTCATATCCATTTAAGGAACTAATTATAAAGAGATAAACATATTCCTTCTGCTTGTTATGGGAAAACATAGTGCAAAATTGTGTATATGCTATAGATGAAAAATAAAAAGGAATAGAATAAAAATGTCACAGCAACACCCGAAGCCAAAGCAGGCTTCTCTCCCACCCTGCCCCACCCCTGTCCCCAGTTGGTGTTCGTCCCAAGATGATGAAGAGTGGCATTGAGTTGAACCCACCAGTTTATTCTTCCCAAAGAAGCCATTACGCCTGAAATGAGGGCCAGAGAGAAGACAAGAGTTACACTGTTTGAATTTCTACCACAAAAAAGGAGGAATCATGGGGAGTTGGAGATGAGTGTTCTAGTCATTTTGTTAGTTTTAGAATAAAAAGTCATTTGTTTTGGAATTTGTTGATTAGCTAAAGCATGATGGCGAACCTATGACACGCGTGTCAGAGGTGACATGCAAACTCATTTTTTTGGTTGATTTTTCCTTGTTAAATGGCATTTAAATATATAAAATAAATATCAAAAATATAAGTCTTTGTTTTACTATGGTTGCAAATATCAAAAAATTTCTGTATGTAACACGGCACCAGAGTTAAGTTAGGGTTTTTCAAAATACTGACACGCCGAGCTCAAAAAGTTCTCCATCACTGAGCTCAAGTATAGTTACTGAAATTTAATTACTTTTATTTTTGTTAGAATCTTCAGTATATTCAAATTAGTAAATTATTTTCTGCTTTTAGGCGTTTAAATGCAGAATTGGAGGCAAAAACAGCTGATCTCGTTCGACAAGCTGAGGAAGCAATAGTAAGTAAATGTTAGTAGTAATTCCATGTAAGTGTGCTAGTTTTTTTAACTTTTTTTTTTGTATAATAAGATTTATTTATTTATTTTTAATTAAATCTTTATTGTTCAGATTATTACATTTGTTCCTCTTTTTCCCCCCCATAACTCCCCTCCTCCCAGTTCCCACCCCACCCTCCGCCCTCACTCCCCACCCACTGTCCTCATCCATAGGTGCACGATTTTTGTCCAGTCTCTTCCCGAATCTCCCACACCCCTTTCCCCCCCAAGAATAGTCAGTCTATTCCCTTTCTATGTCCCTGATTCTATTATGATCACCAGATTATTTGTTCACTTGATTCTTAGATTCACTTGTTGATAGATGCATGTTTGTTGTTCATAATTTGTATCTTTACCTTTTTCTTCCTCTTCCTCTTCTTAAAGGATACCTTTCAGCATTTCATATAATCCTGGTTTGGTGGTGATGAGCTCCTTTAGCTTTTCCTTATCTGTGAAGCTCTTTATCTGACCTTCAGTTCTGAATGATAGCTTTGCTGGATAAAGTAATCTTGGTTGTAGGTTCTTGGTATTCATCACTTTGAATATTTCTTGCCATTCCCTTCCGGCCCTCAAAGTTTCTGTTGAGAAATCAGCTGACAGTCGTATGGGTATTCCCTTGTAGGTAACTGAGTTTCTTTCTCTTGCTGCTTTTAGGATTTTCTCTTTGTCTTTTGCTCTTGACATTTTAATTATGATGTGTCTTGGTGTGGTCCTCTTTGGATTCCTTTTGTTTGGGGTTCTCTGCGCTTCCTGAACCTGTAAGTCTATTTCTTTCACCAGGTGGGGGAAGTTTTCTGTCATTATTTCTTCAAAGAGGTTTTCAATATCTTGCTCTCTCTCATCTTCTGGCACCCCTATAATTCTGATGTTGGTATGCTTGAAGCTGTCCCAGAGGCTCCTTACACTATCTTCGTATTTTCGGATTCTTTTTTCATTTTGCTTTTCCAGTTGGGTGTTTTTTGCTTCTTCGCATTTCGAATCTTTGACTTGATTCTTGCTCTCCTCTGGTCTGCTGTTGGGAGTCTGTATAATATTCTTTATTTCAGTCAGTGTATGCTTAATTTCTAGTTGGTTCTTTATCACAACATCGAGGGTCTCATTAGATTTCTTGAGGATCTCACTACATTTATCAGCGGTCTCACCAGTCTTTTCGAGGGCCTTACTAAGTTTATTGGCAGCTTCTAGACAGTTCTTGAGAGACCTTAAAAGTGTGGTTTTGAGCTCTATATCTTCCATTTCTGACATTTGCGTCCTGTTTCTTTGTCTCCGCATTTTTTTTATCTTTTCTTGGTGCACCCCCTAGTGGTCTTTGTGCGAAGTCTTGTTGTAGTTAAGCCTTAATTGTTGTCGGGAATACTGGGGGTGATTTGACCTCCAGGCCAACTAGCTGTGAGAATCCTTTAACTTTTTAAATTTGATTTATAACATGCATACAAAAAAGTACCCAAAGCATAAATTTTAAGCTCAATGAATTATTACAAATTGAACATGAATATATGTGTCGGTAGGTAGGTGTGTGTATATATGCATGCATGCAATTTTTATAAGCATATATTTTCTAAAAGCCACAAAGTGTTTTCCATTTAGATGTCCAGTCATAAGAACATTAATATTTAATAAATTTTCCCACTATTTTAAGATTAATATTTGAGAATAGCTATGTAGAATTAACACTGGTAATTCTGTAAGGAAGGAAATAACATTGTCTCTGGGCAAAAGCTGGATAAAGGATAACAATTATTAGATGGTAATTTACTTCTTATTCAGATGGTAATTTATTTCTTAAATTCCTCAGATGCCTATTACTTACATTCTTAGGGCTAGGCCATATCAGATTTATAGTTAGGAAAATGTAATGAGGTTATAACACTAGACAGTGTAAGCATATTTTACCCCATTCTGGGTACCAATTGGTTATTCCTGCTTTAAGCATCCATCCTTATACATCAGTGTTCCCATTATAAAATGATAGTATATAGTAGCATTCCTTAGAGCAGTGGTTCTCAACTTTCCTAATGCCGCAACCCTTTAATTCAGTTCCTTATGTTGTGGTGACCCCCAATTTCATTGTTACAATTGAACATAACTAAAGCATAGTGATTAATCAGAAAAACAATATGTAATTATATATGTGTTTTCCGATGGTCTTAGGCGACCCCTGTGAAAGGGTTGTTTGACCCCCAAAGGGGTCGTGACCCACAGGTTGAGAACCGCTGCCTTAGAGAAATAAAGTGGCTGCTTTAATTTTTTTTTTTTTTTTTTTAGTTCTTACCCTAATTTAATTATAATTCTTTCTTTTAAACCCTACCCTCTACCCCACTTTGGAATTGATGGGTGCAGGAAAGAAGGGGTGATATTTTATTTTAAGGCCTTATACATATCCATCATTATTTGTTGGAGTAGAATAAGAAACTTAATTTTATTTTTATATATATATATATATATATGACATTTCAGGAAATATATTTTTATAATGGATGCAGATTTGCTAGTTGCATTTGTAATTAAAAACTTATTTAAAAAGAAATATTCTTATTACATCTTTTAGTTTTGCCAGTGTCTGAAGAGCCAGAAAATGCTTGAAAAAGAAATCCAAAGTTATGGTAGAATGAGGGATTCATTATGTATTCTGCTCCAAGAGCCCTCTAATAAGGACCTTGTAATTTATTTATTTAAAAAAAAAGAGTAGAGTAGAAAACTGGGGAGGGGTGGGAAAGAGGAGAGGGCATTCCTGCCCCCACAGAAACTGATAGATATAATTATTGTCACATTGAATGTTTGTTTGCTCCCTTTTATTTCTTTATATATCTTTGCCAAGAGATTTTACTCTTAGTGCTTCTTTTTTAGCCTTTTCATGGTATTCTTAATATTGAAGTTCTGTGTTATTTGCGACAAATTTTTCTACCCATCTAATGGATTTATGTTTTCATTTCTTGTGAGTATAATTTCCTTTGCATATTACACAGAACTGAAGATTCTAATGTAGGGTGGAAGCAGGAGTGGGATAAGATCATATAAAGGCATTGGCATGCTAACATTTTCCCCTTAGAATTGACTTTCTTAACCCAGAATGGATGAAAGGTACAACTACACTGTTACAGACCTTATTTTCATACCATGTTGTTTAGAATTCTGTGCCTCAATTTTGTGGAAGCTGTGGGCAAATCTGAAATGGTTAATAATAAAAAAGGCACTTGAATAAATCCTATTTTTGTTCATTTTTTTCCTATGTGACTTATCTTTATTCATTTAACTAGAGAGATCAGCAAGAAGTACGATCTCAGCCTATTTCAGCACAAATTAAATCATATGAAGATGATGATTACAGTTTAAGGTAAGTCACTTAAATTCTTAAACACCTTTTTTAAAACTGGGTAAATGCTTTAAGGTTGTGTTTATTTTTAAGATCTAATCAACATATAACATTATATTAGTTTCAGGTATACAGCAATTTGATATTTATGTATTGTGAAATAGTCATCATAATGAGTCTAGTTAATACCCATCATATACCTGGCTACAGAATTTTTTGTTATAATGAGAACTTTGAAGATCTACTTTCTTAGCAACTTTCAAATATGCAGTATAATATTATTAACTATAGTCATTATGCTGTATATTACATTCCCATGACTTATTTTATAACTGAAATTTTGTACCTTTTGATTCCCTTCATCTACCCCCCCCCCCCCCCCCTCCGCCAAATCCTCAGCCTCTGGCAACTACCAGTCTGTTCCCTGTATCTATGAGTTGTTTTTTTGTTTTGTTTTTTTTCGGTTCCACATACAAATGAGATCATATGATATTTGTCTTTTTATGTCTAACTTATTCAATTAGTGTAATGACCTCAAGGTCCATCCATGGGTCTTCTTAATGGCAGAATAATATTCCATTGTATTTGTATTCCACAGTTTCTTTATTCATCCATCTGTCAATGGACATTCAGGTTGTTTCCACATCTGGACTATTGTAAATAATGTTGCAGTGAACATGGGGTGCATACATCTTTTTGGGTGTGTTTTTGTTTTCTTCAGATAAATACCCAGAAGTGGAATTACTGGATCATAAGGTAGTTCTCTTTTCAATTTTTTTTGAGGAACCTCCATGCTATTTTCTATAGTGGCCACACCAATTTGCTTTCCAACCAACAGTGCAAAGGGTTCCCTTTTCTCCACATCCTCACCAGCATTTATAAAAGCCATTCTAACAAGTGTGAAGTGCTATGTGGTTTTGATTTTCATTTCCTTTAAGAGGTTGTACTTAATAACATTTACCTAAGTATATCTTTGTGTTTAATATTGAAAAAAATCTATTAGTTTAATTGTTGGCATCTGATGGAAAATAATTGTGCTTTTATATCCTCTTACAGTGGTTCTCAATCTTCTGGCCCTTTAAATACATGTTGTGACCCAACCATAAAATTATTTTCGTTGCTACTTCATAACTATAATGTTGCTACTGTTATGAATCGTAATGTAAATATCTGATATGCAGGATGGTCTTAGGCGACCCCTGTGAAAGGGTTGTTCGACCAACAAAGGGGTTGTGACCCACAGGTTGAGAACTGCTGTCCTAGGGGATATAATGGAGTATTTCTCTTAATTTTTCATGGCAATATGGTAGATTTTCTGAAATATTAGAACGTGTTGCAAATGATATAGAAAATTGATCAGGCAAACTTTTCCAATGAACAGTCAGATAAATATTTTTGGATCTGTGGATTATACAGTCTTTGTCACAACTATTCAACTTTGCTGTTGTAGTGTGAAAACATCTATAGATAATGTATAAATGAATGGACACGGTGGATTCAACCTCGGGGCCATAGTTTGCAGAGCCTCATAAACACTCATTGTTTTAAACTACAAATACATTTTGAACTATGTATAATGCCAGGTGGGTACTAGACTTATTGGGGGAATCACTTACAGAAATTTATAATTTATATACTGGTACACTATGATGTACTCTTGAAACTAACATAAAATAACTAGGGGCCCAGTACACAAATTCATGCACCTTGAAAGGAACTGTGGGCCACAGAGGCTGTGGTAGTCACAGAGGCAGGTCTCGGCCCATCCTCCCCCCCGCCTGGCCCTTCCTGCCACGACCCTAAGTCCCCTGTCTGCCGGCAGCCCTGCTTCCGTCCATGCTGCTCCCATGCGCTGACAGCGCCGGTCCAAGCGCCGGTCCAAGCGCCAGGCGGGACCGCAGCATGTGGGAGCAAAGAATTTTCAGTAACCACCAGAAGCTCACCCGATGACAGCGGCTGGTGCCCTGCCTCGGTCTGGCGTCCCCCCTCACCTGCTCCACCATTCTGCTGTGGCTGACGCCTGCCATGTTCCACCTAGTGGTCAGCACACGTCATAGCGACAGATTGTTTAGTTGTTCGGTTGTTCTGCCACTTGATCTATTTGCATATTAGGGTTTTATATATATAGATATTGAATGTCAACTGTAACTGGAAATAAATTACAAATATATTTTGAAAATTTTGTTCATAAAGGTAAATCGTATTTTAAATATACTTTATTATACAGTTAACAGATATTTAGTACCAATTTAAAAGCTTATATGCCATATACTATGCCAAGTTCTATGCATGATTACTACCATCATGATTACTACCATCATGAAGTTTATAATGTAATGGGGAAAACAGACACTGACCAGGTATTTAAATGCATTAGACAAAGGATAACATTGAGTGGGTGCACAATAAAAAGCCCTGTGGTGAATCATTTTGTAAAATAGATAATCCCCATGTATAACCAATAATCACTCCTTATAATTTGCCAGTTATTAAGATTTATGCTATATTTTTCTTTAAAAAATTGACCCTAATGTGTAATATATCTTATCAAAGGTAAATTATTTCTTTTTAATCATTTTTTATTTTTCAGTTACAGTTGACATACATTAAAAACATGTTTCAAATGTACACCCCAGTGATTACACCTTATAGAACTTACTAAGTGATTATCCAAATAAATTTGTAACCATCTGACACCATACATAGTTATTAGAATACTAGAGGCCCGGTGCATAATTTGTGCATGGGTGGGGTCTGGCCGGCCTGCCTCGATCAGGCTGATCAGGCTGGCCGGCTGGGGGAAGGGCACCTGGGAGGTTGGCCAGCCAGCCCTGCCCCCGATAGTAGAGGGGGTGGCTAACTGGGGGCGGGGCTAGTCGGGGAGGGGCCAGCCCTGCCCCTGGTTGAACTCCCGGTTGAACTCCCAGTTGAGGGGACAATTTGCATATTAGGCTTTTGTTATATAGGATTATTGACTCTATTCCCTATGCTGTACTTTACATTCCCAAGACTATTCTGTAACAACCAACTTGTACTCCTTATTTTATCTTTTTCCCCCCTTGTGGCCAACCTCCCTCCCATCTGGTAACCGTAAAATGTTCTCTGTATCTATGAGTTTTTCTATTCTGTTTGTTTATTTTGTTTTTTAGCTTCAGTTGTTAAATATGTATTTATTACCATTTAATATTGTTCATATTTTTTTTCTTTTTTTTTTTCTTATGAAAGACCCTTTAACATTTCATGTAATACTGGTTTGGTGGTAATGAACATCTTTAGCTTTTTATTATCTGTGAAGCTCTTTATATGTCCTTTGATTTTAAATAGTACCATTGCTGGATAGAGTAATCTTGGCCATAGGTCCTTGCTTTTTATCACTTTGAATATTTCTTGCCCATCCCTTCTGGGCAGCAAAGGTTCTGTTGAGAAATCAAGTGACACTTGTATGGGAGCTTCCTTGTAGATAACTAACTGCTTTTCTCTTGCTTTTTAAGATTCTTTATCTTTCACCTTTGCATTTTAATTCTGATGTGTCTTGGTGTGGGCCTCTTTGATTCAACTTTGGGACTCTGATTTCTGGACTTGCATGTCTGTTCCCTTCACCAGATTAGGGAAGTTTTCTGTCCTTTTTTTTTCTTGAAATATGTTTTTAATTTCTCTCTCTCTCTCTCTCTCTCTCTCTCTCTCTCTCTCTCTCTCTCTCTCTCTCTCTCTCTTTTCTGCTTTCAGAAACCCCCATGATTCCAGTGTTGGTACATTGAAGTTGTCCCAGAGGCTCCTTTACTTTTTTGGATTTTTTTTCTTTTTGCTGTTCTAATTGCGGTTTTTTGCTTCCTTATATTCCTCTGCTTCATCTACTGTACTGGTGATTCCCTGTAATGTAGTCTTCATTTCAGTTAGTGTGCATTCTTCATTTCTGTTTTTTTTTTAAATTTTCTATCTTTGTTTTTGTTTCCTATCTCTTCTTTCTAAGTTCTCACTAAGTTCATTAAGCATACTTATAATCACTGTGATGAACTCTGTTTCTGATAGGTTGTCTCCATTTTGTTTAGTTCTTTTTCTGATGGGCTGTTCTGTTTTTCATTTGGGACATGTTTCTTTGTCTCCTCACTTTGGCTGCCTCTCTGTGTTTGTTTCTGTGTATTAGATAGATCTGCTATTTCCCAGGCTTGGTAGAGTGACCTTATGTAGTAGATGTCCTGTAGGGTCCAGTGGCATAGCCTCTCCATTCACTTGATTTGGGCACTCCAGGTGTAGACCCCCTGTGGGGCTCTGTACACCCTTCTGTTGTAGGTGAGCCTTGATTGCTATTGGCATGTCAGTGGAAGGGAGCTACCCCCAGGAGAGTTGGCTGCAGGGACTGGCTGTGACCACCAACCACCATGGAGGACAGATAGCTGTGCTGGGGCCCACCCCACAGAGAAGGATTTACTTGAGTGTGTCACTTGTGGAGGTGGTTGGGTGGTGCTTCAATATGGTCTGAAGATGTTTATCGGGTGCACTGGCTCTGAGGCCTCCTGGGGGTGCTGGCCAAGCTCATTTGCTGCTTGTGTTCTGCCTGGAGCCAGCAGGCATGAGCTACAAAGAGATCTGCAGATGGCTGCTACTTGTGCTGGGCTTGGAGATGCCCTGGCAAGGCCAAACTGCGAACCAAGGCCAGCTGCTGCTTGTGCCGGGCCTGGGGTCACTTAGCTGGAGGTATGGGGTACACTGAGGCCAGATGTTGCTTGTTAGATTTTTATGAAAGTCTGAAGCATGAGCCAAGATAGGCCATTTGTATGGAAAACCTACTGGAAACAGCTTGGATAGGCTCACAAGTTGGGGGGGAAAGGGTTTTAGGGAATCACCAGGGCAGCGTGAACAGTGTGACTGTTGAGACTCAGATAAGGTACTCACCTGCTGGCTCTATGGCAGGGGTCTCAGAAAAGGAACAGTGGCCTCTGTCAGCACGTAAACATTTTTTAAAAATTTATTTATTGATTTTAGCAGGGGAGAGAGAGAATGAGAGAAAGAAACATCTACTTGTTGTTTCACTTATTTATGCATCCATTGGTTGATACTTATATGTGCCCTGGGGATGGAACCTGCAACCTTGGTAAATCAGACATCTAAGCAACTGAGCTACCCAGCCAGGGCTCTGCCAGCACTTTTATCTGACAGAAAGCTATCTACCCACAGCTTTCACCTTGATGCCACACAATCCACTTCCTCCCTGTATGCCCCTGGTTCCTTTCAGCCTGTTGCCCCAGTGCTAGACCTCAGAGGGAGTGAGTCCAGTAGGTCTGCACATGGTTCCTTTTAAAAGAACTGCCCGAACTCCAGAGGTCCTTGGTCTTACTCAGCCATAGTCCATGCTGGTTTTGTTGTGTGTGTTTTTAAAAGATTTTCTTACTGATTTTTAGAGAGAGAGGCAGGGAGAGGGAGAAAGAGAAACATCAATGTGAGAGTGAAACATTGATCAGTTGCTTCCTGCAGGCTCCCTGCCAGGGATTGAACCCACAACCTGGGCATGTTCACTTATCAGGAATCAAATCAGCAACCTTTAGGTGCATGGGACGATGCCCAGCTAACTGAGCCACACCAACCAGAGATTCTTGTTGGTTTTTATAGCAGAAGTTATGGAGACTTCTCTTCTTGGCCCTGGAACCCTGGGCTGGGAGGACCTGGTGTGGGGCTGGGACCCCTCCTCAGAAGTGACCTCCACAGCTGAGATATCCCTCCCAGTTTTTAACACCATATGTAGGTGTGGGACCAGCCTGTTCCACATCTCCTCCCCTCCTACTAGTCTTGATGAGGCTTCTTTAAACTTGATGAGGACTTACATTTAGCTAGATTTCAGGCGGTTCTGAATGATGGTTGTTCTGTAGTTTAGTTGTAATTTTGATGTGGTTGTGGGAGAATTCAAGTTCAGTATTTTTAAGGTGACTTATCCAACCAAACCACTTTTCTTATTTGTGACACTCATGTTAAATAAATTAACATGTGCATGCCTAAAATGATAGCAAAGTCTACTCGATGTATATTTGTCCCTTTCAAATATAGTTGCTGTTGAATTTTATTAGGTCTCAGCTCAATATCGTCTATTATTATTAATGTACGTTTATTTCTGGTCTCTAGAGGTCTATTATCTGAAGGGGCAGTTCATCTATATTCAGAAACTCAGGTATGAAATCAAACTTTTTGTGAGTATAATTACATTCTGTAAAATTTAGGGTTTTTTTTTTAGACTTTTCTTACACAAAACAGAGAAGTGTTATGACTCTAGAAACAGAATAAAAGCTTGATACTCAGAAGAGATGTCTTCATGAAATTTTGCTCATAAAATAAATGAAATCCATTTTTGTCTCATAATTTCACTGAACAATTTGGAGCTATGATGGAAAAAATTCTAAGTGAAATGAGTCTGTACCCTAAAGATATTTTAGTTTTCTATCTGAAGTCCAAATTTATAGATAGAAAATCTGAAAAAGAAAAGTATTTATATACAAAGAATGTATTTTTAAAAGGTTTATTCATTCATTTAAATATTTACATGTAGGGATTACTATTGTAGATGCCGAGCTTACTGTGGACTGTAAATTCCCCACCCATGGGGATGTAGGTCTAAGTAACAGTATACATCAAGCATGTCAAACTCACAGCTGGCTGCAGGTGTGACATGGTTGGCACACATGAAAGCCATCGGGGGAATAATCAGTAAGGGGAACTAAATTCTGTGAGTCAGAACATTCAGTTTAACGTACAACCCGCTAGCTGAGTATCCTTTAAACTTTGGGACTCATTTTCTTTGTCTTGGAATCTCTTGGTCCTAATATCATCTAGGTCTTTTCCAGCTATAGAATTCTGGGATTTTTAAAAATACAGTTTGATTCACTTCATGAAAGTAGCAATTCTTTTATGTAGCAAACCAACAAGTCTGAATTACTTACTTTAGCACATGATTAGAATCTAACTAATCAATAATTTAAATTTTTTTCATATAGCCAAAGAGCAAAAATGTTGATCCAGTAAACAAGGTTAAAAAAAAACTACACTCTGCAAATAAAGGAAAGAAAACAAATTCAAGGTATAGTACAGTTTTAAAAGTATACTTTCCCCTAAATTTTATAATTTACAGTAGTATCATTCTTTTTTAAAAATAATTTTTATTGATTTTAGAGAGGAAGGGACAGGGAGAGAGAGATAGAAACATCAACACTAGAGAGAATCATTGATTGGCTGCCTCCTGCATGCCCCAAAATGGCTATTGAGCCTGCTACCTGGGCATGTGCTCTTGACTGGGAATCAAACTATGACCTTCTGGTTCGTAAGTCAATGCACAACCACTGAGCTACGCTGGACAGGCCATTCTTAATTATTAAGTTTTTTGTTTCTCCAGGTCTTTTTTTACCACAAAATATACAAAATTACACCATATAAATATATATATATATATATGTTTACATATATATCTGTCCACATTCAATAATTTAAAACATTTTCTATCAGAAATGTCTTGCAGCAGTTAATTTTGTATCTTCTTAAAACTATGACTAGAACCTAGATGTTATTTTCTGCCTACTTCTCTCAAGTAAACGAAATTGCATATACTTCTTTATATTTAATGGCACCATACCTTACTGTATTTGAGATATAGAATGATTTAACTTGCTCTAAGACTATAATATAACTAGAGGCCCGGTGCACAAAAATTTGTGCACTCGGGGGTGGGGGGGTCCCTCAGCCCGGCCTGTGCCCTCTCGCAGTCTGGGACCCCTCAGGGGATGACCACCTGCTGGCTTAGGCCTGCTTCCCGGGGGATTGGGCCTAAACTGGCAATCAGACATCCCTCTGGCAGCCCGGCAGCCCTCAGGGGATGTCCACTTGCCAGCGGGGAGCAGGCCTAAACTGCAGTCGGACATCCTTAGCGCTGCTGAGGAGGCAGGAGAGGCTCCCACCACCACCACTGTACTGGCAGCCATCAGCCTGGCTTGTGGCTGAGCAGAGCTCCTCCCATGTGAGAGCCCCCTCACCACCAGAGGGCAGCTCCTGCATCAAGCGTCTGCCCCCTTCTGGTCAATGTGTGTCATAGTGACCAGTCATTCCCAGTCTTTCTGCTGTTAGGGTCAGTTTGCATATTACCCTTTTACTATATAGGATAGAGGCCTGGTGCATGGGTGGGGGCCGGCTGGTTTGCCCTGAAGGGTGTCCCGGATCAGGGTGGGGGGTCCCGCTTGGGTGCCTGGCCAGCCTGGGTGAGGGAATGATGGCTGTTTGCAGCTGGTCACACCCCCTTCAGGGTGGGGGTCCCCACTGGAGTGCCTGGCCAGTCTGGGTGAGGGGCTGAGGGCCATTTTCAGGCTGGCGGGCAACTGTAGCTCCCAACCTCTCCTTTTTTTCTTTTTTCTTTTTTAATTCTGGGACTTATTTACCTTCTATGGCTGTCACTGAAGCTGAGAGCCGGCTTTAGCTCCGAGGCCGGCTCCAGCTTGAGGCCTCGGATGCTGAAAGCAGGCATCTGGGGTTTATTTGGCTTCTATAATTGAAACACTGTTGCAGCTTCAGCTCTGAGGCCTTGCTGGCTGAAAGCAGGTTTCTGGGTTTGTTTAGCTTCTATAATTGCAACATTGTTTCTTAGACTGGAGCTCAGAGCCGGCTACGGCAGGCGGGGAAGCTTGGCTTCCTCCATCACTGGAGTAAGCAAGACTCCTGCTTGCTCCAGCTCCGTAGCTGCTGGCTGCCATCTTGGTTGGATTAATTTGCATATAGTTGCTCTGATTGGCTGGTGGGTATGGCTTAAGGTGTAGCGAAAGTATGGTCAATTTGCATGTTTGTCTTTTATTAGTATAGGATTTACATTCTATTGTTTTTGATGAAAAATAATTCAAGACTGGTCTTAGTACTTTATGTATTAAAAATGGGGCCAATGAGGCTCTTTGGGTTGGAGACTTTCTAGAAAAAGGGGGTCATACCTGCTATGGGTTGTACCAATCAGCTTCTTATTCACAGGGTTATTCAATTTATATGTCTACTAGAGGCCCAGTGCACGAAATTCGTGCACGGGGGGTGAGGGGTCCCTCAGCCCGGCCTGCAACGACACCAGCATCTCTCGCCCTGGCTTCTGTCCTGAGGTCCCGCTCCTTCTTCTGTATGGCCAGGGTGGGGAAACTGGGCTTGCGTCACTGTGAGCCCAGCATCCCTCGCCGTGGCCTTTGGCCTGAGGCCCTTCCCCTCCTTCTGTGTGGCCGGGTCGGGGACCCTCCCCTCCCTCCAAGTGTCCGAGACGCAGACGCTGGGCTCGCATTGCTGGGGCGACACTGCTAGCATCCCTCCCTGGACCACTATGGGCGCTGCCATCTTTGTTGCGGAGTGGTGGTTAATTTGCATATTACTCTTTTATTAAATAGGATTACTTACCTAAACTCCTAATTTGGGAAAAATGTTTGTTAATTTTTGTGTCTGTTAATTGGCTAAATAACCTTTTTGTTTTTTTTCAATAAATAGAGAAAAAAAATAGAGTGAAAGGATAAGAAGAAAAATCTAAAAATTGACTAATTGAAGAGGAGAGAATACATACTATATACTGGAAAGGTTATCTTATTTTTTTAGACTTCGTGTTTACTTTTATAAAGAAAAGGTTTGCTTTTCAAAATAAAATTCAGAAGCTTTTGCTTTTGTATCAAAAGTAAATCCAACTTTTTGGTCGACTTTGATCCTGGTTACAATGTGTTTTTTTAGGTTGAAAAAAATGTTGAGTTTGAGCTAAGAAGTGTTTACTCTGTAATTCTTTCTCAAGAGATATTATTTTTTTAGTGTTTGCAGAATTATGGCTAGAGTGCTATTATTTGTACAGGTCTTCTCCAGCAGCATGTGAAATTAAAAGCCACAGGCTAGATTTGACCAAGAAGGCCAAGTTTAGTACTTTTATTTTTGATGTTCTCTTGTTTGGAGGCAATGTTAAAATAAACAGGCCTCACAAAGCCTTTCTAGCTCTGTGGTTCTGTAATTCATAAAGATGGAAAGTCTACTAAGACACTTATTAGTCGTTGAAAGTATCAACTATAGGTTTCATCATAAATTTAAATTTTATGATAATTTTGATATGCTTTGTTATTTGGATAAGTCATATTTAGGAGTCTTACATATACAGCATGTGTAATGTACATTTACATATGTAATTTTCTTTTTTAGTATAAAGTTGAAATACTCTGATGTACCAACTGCCAATGATGTTGCCATTCCAGAGGATTTCTCAGACTTTTCTCTTGCTAAAACAGTTAGCAAAATTGAAGGGCAACTGGAAGAAGAAGGCCTACCTGATTATATAGATGATGATATTTTTTGTGGTGCTAGTAAAGACATTGGAACAGGTAAGTTTTCTTTTATTTATATCACAGTTAATTAGAAAAAGATATTTAGGAACTTTTTTGCATTTTAAAATATATTGTGATGTATTTGTTTCAAAATCATCTAGTACAGTGGTTCTCAACCTTCTGGTCCTTTAAATACAGTTCCTCATGTTGTGACGCAACCATAAAATTGTTTTCGTTGCTACTTCATAACTGTAATGTTGCTACTGTTATGAATCGTAATGTGAATATCTGATATGCAAGATGGTCTTAGGCGACCTCTGTGAAAGGGTCGTTCGACTGCCAAAAGGGTCGCGACCCACAGGTTGAGAACCGCTGATCTAGTGGGACATGATGGTGGAAGGAATGAATGGGATTGTAACTGAAGTAATTGGTTATGAGTCAGTAATTATGAAAGTGGATCATGGGAAAGTAACTGCTTCATTGAACTAGTCTCTACTTTTATGGTGTTGGTTTCATTGACCACTCTTCAACTAAGGTTAAAATGTCCCAAAACTAATCCTTAAAACATTAAAATTTAAAAAAAAACCCACACACATGATTCTTTGAATTTTTTCATTTACCATTATTATATTCTGCTTATTGCATATTAAATTAACACGTGCAAAAGAATAAATGAATTATAGATGTAGCATCAGGTAAAATGATCAAATGAGTTTTCTAACCAATATAATTTTCTTTCTTATAAACTCATTTTTGTCAGACCACTAGAAACATAATAGTACTAAGTTTATATCATCTGAAGACATTGTTAGTTACCAGTAATGCCTCTAAAATTATGTTGAGTTTGTGAGGAATCACCAATGCTATTGTAAACAAAAATAAGACAGTTCAGTGTATATGTACATAGTTAATGCTGAACTATAATTAATTGTGAGTTCAGACAAGCCACTTAGCCCCTCTATAATACCAATATATTAGTTTCAAAATTTAGCAGTTTATATTAGATTATAAACTTTATCTTTAAAATTATCTGATTCTGTGAAAATCACAACAATTATATGTATAATGATTGTTGTACTGCATGCTAGTTAGTCATAAGTGAGGAGAAATGTATTTATGCATTTACTATACTTATTGACCTATCCAAGCTTTCTGGGGCTAGTTGTCAAGAAGGGAGTTAAACGAAGCAGGACGTTGCCTTTGTGTGTCTGTTAAGACGCCTTCAAGGACACAATGGTCAGATGTTAGCTGCTCCTCAGCACATGGTGAACGTGGCCCTGTTACAGTATTCCTCTTCCCTGATACTGGGAACCAGCACAAACTGCTTTTTCTAATTGCTCAATTACCCCTCTGCATCTTTACCCCCTTTTTGAGAATTTTTGCCCTGCATGTCTCCCTTTTATTCTTTTATTCCAGGTGATTGCCTGTGGTTACCTGGGGGAGGAAAAGATCAACAAGTAGTTTAGCAGCACAGATTGCTTTGTAAGACTAATAGTTCGAGTGGGATGGGGAGGTTAGTGCTGGGTACCTAAAGTGGGAGAGAGAAAGAGATAGTAGGAAAAGGCCATGCTCTCCCATTCTTCTTTCTTTTCCCCTAGAGACCAACTACTGCAAATGTCACACTTTTGAATTTATCATTCCCCTTCTATCCCTGTTAGCCTGAAGTTATATGAGAAGGTAGAAAGAGAGTTGAGGCTCTAGAGCAGCCGTGGGCAAACTACAGCCCGCGGGCCGGATCCGGCGAGTTTGAAATGAATAAAACTAAAAAAAAAAAAAAAGACCGTACCCTTTTATGTAATGATGTTTACTTTGAATTTATATTAGTTCACACAAACACTCCATCCATGCTTTTGTTCCGGCCCTCCGGTCCAGTTTAAGAACCCATTGTGGCCCTCGAGTCAAAAAGTTTGCCCACCCCTGGTCTAGAGAGATCTAGGTGGGTTAGAACCAACCGCAGCTCATCAGCTCCACGGTGACACTGGGGACCTTGATAAGAGCTTGGGAACAGAAAGTGTGTACGCAGACGTATGCCTGTGGTTCAGATTCTCAGGAGTGCTTTGGTCCTCCGCCCCCCCACCCCCCCCCCCCCCCCGCCCCCGACCTCCCCTTATTTTACTTGGTTCCACTGTTGAAATGTGAGCATTTGTTTCTGTTGGGTGATTTGTTAATTTATCTTTAAATTAGGAGTATTTAATCTTCCCAAACAGGGACCTCCTGTTAGATTCCCATCTTGAACGTGTTTGTTCTTTCATAATATAATGGTCTGTCTTATAAATGATGATGTTTTAGATTCAGTGAAAGGCAATAAATATAATTATTTAAATCCACAGAAGCACAGATCAGATTTCTGAAGGCCAAACTCCGTGTTATGCAGCAGGAATTGGATAATGTTGTATGTGAATGCAATAGAAAGGTTAGTTTTTAAAAGCTCTCAATGTATATGCTCTAATATTAAGACATTTTAGGAATAATTTAAATTATATTTTAAAATTAGCTTCATTGAAATATAATTCAGTTAAATTTTGAATTAAAAATTATATGCAAACACTGAACTCCATTCTAAGATGTGGAATTTTCAGAGCTAAATAATTTTAAATACTTGTTAGCAAGTAGAATTCTTTATATTAGACTTATAAGTGTAAGCTATTAAGCACAAATAAAATATGTGACTTTCATTTTTTAAGATGAAAATCAAAGATCATATGAAGTTCCTTTTTGTTTTCTGCTTTATATTTTTAAATCATGTGCATTTTTATATACCAAATCATGTGCATTTTTAACATAATCTATAATTTCATAACTATAGGAGGATGAAATTCAGGATTTAAAGTCTCAAGTAAAAAATTTTGAGGAAGATTGTGTAAGACAGCAGCGAACAATTAATTTGCAACAGTCTCAAACAGAAAAATATAAAACTCTTTTCGAAGAAGCAAACAAAAAATGTGATGGATTACAGCAACAGCTGTCTTCAGTAGAAAGGGTAATTATTTTGCTATTTTTCTTAACCTAAAACCAAAGATGCACTAAACCACTATAGTTGCACATTTGGATAGACACCACTATTGATTGTTTAGTTATTTTGTCAGTGTTAACTAAAAACTCTTCTTCCTTATATAGGAGAGTATTTTTTAATAGATTTATTGAGATATAGTTCACATAGAATACATCGCACCCTTTTAAGTGTACAATTCAGTGGCTTTTAGTGTATTCACAGTTGTGCAACTACCACCACTATCAATTTTAGAACATTTCATCACTCCAAAAGACCACCCATACCCTTTAGCCAAGTACTCCATCCCTCTTCTTAAACCCTTCCAGCCCTAGGCAATTTCTAATCTTTTTGTCTCAATAGATTTGACTACTCTGGACATTTCATATATACAGCATCATACAATGTGTGCTATTTTGAGACTGACATCTTTAGCTTAACATGTTTTCAAGTTTTATCCACACTGTAGCACATATCATTACTTTAGTACTTTTTATGGAGTATGTAGTTGTAACACATTTATCTGTTTATCATTTGATAGACATTTGGTTTGTTTCCAATTTTTGTGAATCATGCTGCTATGAACATTGATGTACATACAGGTTTTTGTGTGGACATGCTTTCATTTCTCTTGGGTAAATACCTAGGAATGGAATTGCTGGGTCATAGGTTAACCCTTTATTTAACTTTTGAGGAACTGCCAACTGTTTTCCAAACCAGCTATACAACTTTTACATTTCCACCAGCAGTGTATAAGGGTTCTAATTTCTCTCTACATTCTCACCAACACGTTAGATTATCTTTTTCATTATAGCCATTCTATTGGTGTGCGGTGGTTATCTCACTGTAGTTTTGAGGTACATTTCCCTGATAACTCATGATTTTGAAGATATTTTATATGTTTATTGGACATTTGTATATCTTCTTTGGAAATATGTCTGTTCAGATCCTTTGCCCATTTTTTAAAAAATATATTTTATTGATTTTTTTACAGAGAGGAAGGGAGAGGGATAGAGAGTTAGAAACATCGATGAGAGAGAAACATCGATCAGCTGCCTCCTGCACACCTCCTATGTGGGATGTGCCCGCAACCCAGGTACATGCCCTTGACCAGAATCGAACCTGGGACCTTTCAGTCCACAGGCCAATGCTCTATCCACTGAGCCAAACCGGTTAGGGTCTTTGCCCATTTTTGAAATTAGAATTTTAAAATTATTGAGTAGTAAGAGATCATTATATATTCTAGATACAGTCCCTCATCAGATATATGATTTGCAAATATTTCTCCCATTCATTGGGTTGTCTTTGCACTTTCTTTATGGTGTACTTTGAAGCACAAAAATTTTAAATTTTGAAATCCAATTTATTTAATATATCTTTGGTTGCTTGTGCTTTTGGTGTCATATCTGCAGGGAGAATATATTTTAAATAAACTATTCTACTTAAGAATTTTTATATTACATACCATTGTGTTAACAAAAATACACTATGCAGTATTATTTTGTAAGACTGAGTGACGATTAAATTTATGTAACCTAGCATGTATTGAGATTTAAGTAGTAAGAAAATATGCATTCTTCATTATAATGCCATATTTCTCTTTAGTGTGTTCATATAAAAATGCCTATTTTTAAACATTATGGCCTTGTATAATTAGCATTATCATCTGGTAATACATTTTTTAACATCAGATTTATTGGGATATAATTTATATACAATAAATCACCTCTTTTATTACACAGTTCTATGAGTTTTAACAAATGCACAGTCCTGAAACCACACCATAATTGAGATATAAAACATGCCCATAATCCCACAAAATTCCCTTGTGAATTTAGTCAAGTCCTTCCTCTCCTCCCAGCCTCAGGCAACACTCATTTCTTTTGGTTCTTATTTTTTGGCTCTTATGATAATGTCATAAATAGAACCACATAGTAGCCTTTTGAGTCTGGTGGGTTGTTTTTTTTTCACTTAGCATAAAGCATTTTAGACTCACCCATGTTGTAGTAGTCCGCTCGTTTTTATTGCTGAATAGTGTAACATTACCAAATTTTGTCTACCTACTCATCTAGAAATAAAAATTGATTGTAGTATTTAATACTCTAAGCCTGTGTTGTCCAGTACGGTAGCCACTCACTGTATATGTGACTAGTCCAAATTGTGACATGCTGAAAGTTTAAAATAAACATCAGATTTTGAAGACTAAATATAAAATAGAATAAAGAATGTGAAATCTCATTAATATTTTTATAATGGTTACATGTTGAAATGATAATATTTTGGATGTATTGGGATAAGGGAAATAGTATTAAAATTAATTTTACTGATTAAAGTGGCTACTAGAAATTTTTTAATTAAATAGAAATATATTATATTACTGTTGGGCTAAGAAATCTGGACAAGTGGCCTAAGGAAAAAAGCTGTCCTATCTGGGGAACAACAATTTTAATTTGTATGAACACTTCCTCATTTGTCATTATGCAACCCAGCTCTGGTCATATCACTGTTCTAGTCTCGCATAATCTTAAAACTTTGTTTATATTTTTGATTCTTTTCTTGTTCTTGGACATCATTCTCAATCCTGTGCATTCTTTCTTCTTAATATTTTTCATTCATTTCTTCAATTCCCATTGCCACTTACTACTTGGTTAAAGCTCCTATTATTTCTGATCCTCCTTACTGGTTATTTTATGTCCTTTCTCTTTTCCTTGTCCATTGTATCCTGTAGTATGCCAATAGATTAACATTTCCAAAGGACTACATTGACTGTAACACTACCTTTGTATGGGCAGAAAAGGATCTAACATATTTTGGGTGCTTTGTGCCAGGCAAAACATTTTATAAAAAGGAAACTGAGTCTGAGAGGTTAAGGAGGATGCCCAAGCACATAGGAGTAAAAGAACAGGATTCAAACAGTATTTGTCTGACTACAAAGTGGGGTTTTTTTCTACAAAGCACATAGACCTTTTCTGCAACTGCCCCCTCCCTCTCCAAATTAAATGGACTTAAACACACAGTCGTTCCAAAATCTCCTTGCTGTTTAGAGTTAAATATTTGAAACTTTTGGTTCATAGTAACTAAGTAATTATGGTACATTGGCTACCTGAAGATTTTTATGGAAACTTTCATTTGCTCTAAATTCCCAGCTTGCATCCTTATTTACCTAGGAGCCAGAGAAGCATAACTCTTTCTGGGTTATATGGAACTCAAGACTGAATCTTTCTTTGATAATTGCATTTATTTTATGTATTTTCTAGAAACAAATCTCAATGTACAGTTCACAGAAATATAAAACAGAGCTTTAGTTTAATGTAGCTGCTTCTATAAACCGGCAAAAGCTAACTATTTAAACAGTTATGTATATTATTTTAGCTGCTGACACTAGTAGATGAAGTCATTTTTAGAACATAAAAACAGCCCTAACCGGTTTGGCTCAGAGGATAGAGCATCAGCCTGTGGACGCCAGGGTCCCAGGTTCGATTCCGGTCAAGGGCAGGTACCTTGGTTGTGGGCACATACACAGTAGGGAGTGTGCAGGAGGCAGCTGATCGAAGTTTCTCTCTCATTGATATTTCTAACTCTCTACCTCTCTCCCTTCCTCTCTGTAAAAAAACCCCAATAAAATAAAAAACAAACAAACAAAAAAGAACGCATTTTATTTCAGCATCGATTTTGTTTTTCTGTGAATGATCTCTGCATTAAAATATTTTTTTTTAAAAAAAAATGCTTGTTTCAATTGTACAACTCATTGAGTTTTTACAAGCTAGTCCGTCCTTGTAACTACCACCACAATCAAGATAAAGAAAATTTCCATCACCCCTTCCCCCAAATTTCTATTGTATCCCTTCCTCATCCATCTCTACTCTCTAACCATGGCTCCAAGCAATCACTTATGTGCAATCCTTTACTACAGATTAGTTTTTCCTGTTCTAAAATTTCATATAGATGGAATCATAGGTATGTACCTTTTTTTGCATCTGGCTTCATTTGTTCAGCATAATGTTTTTGAGATTCATCAATACTGTTGTGTGCTGTGTGGTTCATTCCCTGTATTGCTGAGTAGTATTTATTTATGAATTTATTTTTGTTGATCTGTTCACCAGTTGAAGGGTGTTTGATTCGATTCCAGCTTTGGACCATTGGATATAGAGCCTCTATGAATTTTCATGTACCAGTGTTTTCTGTAGACACACTTTGTGTGTATGTATAGACACATCCAGTATTATTCATGATGTTGAATAAATAACTAGGAGTAGAATTTCTGGGTATTATGGAAAGTGCATGTTTAATTTTTTAAAGAAACTGTCAAATTGTGTTCCACAGTGATTTTATTCCCACTAGCAATATATAAGAGCTCCAGTTATCCTGTAGCATCAACACTTGATATTGTCAATCTTTTTAATTTTAGCTATATTAGAGGGCAGAAGTAGTATCTTATTACAACTTTCATTTGTATTTTTTTTTAATTTTTTTATTGGTTATTACATATGTGTCCTTATCCCCACATTACTCCCCATCCCCCCCTCTCATGCCCTCACCCCCCTGTTGTCTGTGTTCATTGGTTAGGCCTATATGCTTGCACATAAGTACTTTGGTTGATCTTTCCCCCTTACCCCACCCTCCCCTACCTTCCCGCTGAGGTTTGACGGTCTGGTCGATGCTTCTCTGTCTCTGGATCTGTTTTTGTTCATCAGTTTATGTTGTTCATTATATTCCACAAATGAGTGAGATCATGTGATATTTATCTTTCTCTGACTGGCTTATTTCACTTAGCATAATGCTCTCTAGTTCCATCCATGCTGTTGCAAATGATAAGAACTCCTTTTTTACAGCAGCATAGTATTCCATTGTGTAGATGTACCACAGGTTTTTAATCCATTCATCTACTAATGGGCACTTAGGCTGTTTCCAAATCTTAGCCATGGTGAATTGTGCTACTATGAACATAGGGGTGCATATAGCCTTTCTAATTGGTGTTCCTAGTTTCTTGGGATATATTCCTAGAAGTGGGATCAACTGGGTCAAATGGGAGTTCCATTTTGTTTTCTGAGGAAACTCCATACTGTTCTCCACAGTGGCTGCACCAGTCTGCATTCCCACCAGCAGTGCACGAGTGTTCCTTTTTCTCCACATCCTCACCAGCACTTGTCATTTGTTGATTTGTTGATGATAGCCAGTCTGACAGGTGTGAGATGATACTTCATTGTTGTTTTGATTTGCATCTCTCGGATGATTAGTGACTTTGAGCATGTTTTCATATGTCTCTTGGCCTTCTGTATGTCCACTTTCGAAAGGAGTCTATTTAAGTCCTTTGCCCATTTTTTGATTGGATCGTTTATCTTCTTTTTGTTAAGATGTATGAGTTCCCTATAAATTTTGGAGATTTGGCCCTTATCAGATATGACATTGGCAAATATGTTCTTCCATGCAGTGTGCTTTCTTGTTGTTTTGTTGATGGTTTCTTTTGCTGTGCAGAAGCTTTCTAGTTTGATGTAGTCCCATTTGTTTATTTCCCCCTTGGTTTCCATTGTCCTAGGAGCTGTATCAGTAAAGATATTGCTACAACATATGTTTGATATTTTGCTGCCTATGGATTCTTCTAAGATTTTTATGGTTTCCTGTCTTACGTTTAAGTTCTTTATCCATTTTGAGTTTATTTTTGTGTATGGTATAAGTTGGTGTTCTAGTTTAATTTTTTTTCATGTATATGACCAATTTTCCCAACACCATTTATTGAAGAGACTGTCTTGATTCCAATGTATGCTCTTGCCTCCTTTGTCAAATATTAATTGACTAGAGGCCCATTGCAGGAAGATTCCTGCAAGAATAGGGCTTCCTCGGGCCTATTCCTGCAAGAATAGGGCTTCCTGAGGCAGGAGCGAAGCAGAGAAGGGAGCGCAGGCTTCACTTCCTTCTCCCCTGCCTCGCTCCCTCCCTTCTCCCCTGCCTCGCTCCCTCCCTTCTCCTCCACTTCGCTCCCTCCTATCTCTGCTGCCTCACTCCCTTCCATGTCCACTGCCTCAGCCCCGCTCCCATCTCCATTCCCTTCTCCACCATTTTGCTCCCTTCTGCAGTGCTTGGCTTCCTTCTACACTGTCTTCAGTCTTCGCTCTGGGTCAGATTGCACACGGGAGGCTCAGATGGCGGCCAGGCGGGCTGGCGGATCAGTGCTGTCCCGCCCCGCCGCCCCGGGTCACAAATAGCAGGCCCGGATGGCAGTGGGGCAGGCGGCGGATGGCGCTGTCCTGCCCTGCCTGCAGTATGCAAATTTAATGGCCATCTTTGTTGGGTTAGTTTGCATACTCTTCTGATTGGCTGATGGGCATAGCGAAGGTATGGGCAATTAGCATCTTTGTCTTTTATTAGTGTAGATTGTAGTGGCTTGGGTCAATTTCTGGGTTCTCTGTTCTGTTCCATTGGTCTATATGTCTGTTCTTGTGCCAGTGCCAGGCAGTTTTGAGAACAGTAGCTTTGTAATATAGGTTGATATCTGGTATTGTGACCCCTCCAACTTTGTTCTTCTTTCTCAAGATTGCTGCAAATATTCGGGGTCTTTTTTCATTCCATATGAATTTTTGGAGAGTTTGTTCTAGGTCTGTGAAATATGCCATTAGTATTTTAATGGGGATTGCATTGAACCTATAGATTGCTTTGGGTAGTATGGACATTTTAATGATGTTGATTCTACCAGTCCATGAACATGATATATTCTTCCATTTGTTAATTTCTTCTATCTCTTTTTTCAAGGTTTTGTAGTTTTCTGAGTACAGGTCTTTTACCTCCTTATTTAAGTTTATTCCTAGGTATCTTAATGTTTTTGTTGCAATGGTAAATGGGTTTTGTTTTGTTTTTGTTTGTTTGGTTGGTTTCTTTTTTTATCTTGAGTTTTAAGGGCCCCCACTTTTAATAACTTATCATTGTTTGATATATGTATCGGTACCTCAGCTATTTTTTGGTTTCACAAAATTTTTCTCTAGTGATATGAAAACTGCTTAATTTTTGTAACTGTATATTTGCTTTATATTGAGTAATTTCAGGGTGCAAGCTCTCTCATAACAGTATTGGTATCCTGTCTGCATTTTGTAAAAAGTACTTGAAATGATTGAAAACAAATGTTTTCAAGTTTTTAATAAGGTTTTTCCTTTCTACAGTGGATTTACTTACATAGGAAAACTTTATTTCCTACTTTACTATTCTTCTGGCTATACGTTTTCTTTTTCACTTTTAAGAAAGGGAGTGGGCAGTATTGATTCAGGGCCAGGGAGGACATCATGTGGTGAAGGATGGTTTTCACTTTTCTGTGAAGTAGGTTACAAAATCACCGAGAATTGTGGACTTTGTAATTAACGAGAATCTTTGCCTTTTCTATGTGAACAGTGAGATAAATCAGGCTAGTTCTTAGTGTAAGCTACCACCAGAAAGCTGTGAAGAAGGCTGGTGATAGCAGATGGTATCCATACACAGTTTGATTTGTTTAGAAACCTACATAAAGAGCAGCATGTGTTTTGTTTTCCCTGTAATTACTTGGAGCCAGGGAGATCAGTTTTCAAATACAGCATAGTGATACAGCCAGGAGAAAAACTTACAAAAGAAGAAAACAGTTAACTGTATTTTTAACTCCCTCATTTCAGTTCCACAGTGAGTATGTTCTTTGTAAAAGGCTCTGTACTAGGCATTGCAGGTGATACAAAGAAGATGGAGTGAAGTATTTCAAAATAAAATCCATTCAATAAACATGTCATTAGTGCCTCTTGTATGCCACCAGAGTTCTGGGAATATAGAAATTAAGACAGTTCCCATCCTCAAGGAACTTACACTATAGTGGGGGAACAAACAAAATGGATAGATTCAGTTTCACACAACAGGGACTATTGTATATGTATATCAGGATGCTATTGAAGCTCTGAAGAAAGGGTACCTAATCTAACCTGGGAGGATAGAGAGGAAAGGCTTCTGGGAAAGGTAAAACCATAGTGTATAGCCCTAGCTGTCTTAAAGGGTGAGTATGTGCTAGCCAGGTAAAAATGAGGAGTAGGAAGGGGTCAGGGCAGAAGGAAGAGCATGAGCAAAGGCTCAGAGGCAAGAAATATCATGGTGGTTGGGGAGATATCCAAGTACTGTTGATATAGCTAAAGTTAACACCTGTGGCAGGAAATGAGATTATGGTGGAGTTGGGAGTTTATCGTATATGTTCATGTTTCTTTTTGTGTGGCCTATAGATTCTCTGCAACAGCATCTCTTAGAATATTTGCAGAAATGCAGGTCTAAACCCACTCTGATATGTGGAAAATAACTCCTAAGAGCTGTTGTTTTTGCATAGAATTGGGATTTCCCTGTAAGGCTAATGTAGAATGCTCTGTATTTAACAATTATTTTTTAAAATGTTTGTCAGGTTTACACAAACAGTATTTATGAGCTTGTGTCTTACATTTGATGTTTTGGGTTGTCCCCAAAGGAATAACTGTAGTTATAAAGAGTTGCTTATAAAATGGAGGGAGGCATGACTACTGTATCTTGGGATCAATAAAAAGAGGCAGGAAATTCCAAACAAAAAATAACCTGAAAGCTTAATTTGCAACTATATCTTTAAAGATATATTTTTCTAAAACCAATTCAGGGTAAGAATTCTCTGAGAACTCTATCACTCAGTGTTCAGTCTCTGGTTGTGGTGGTGGTAAAATTTCGAAGAATGCAAGGAATATGAAATGGGAAATATTGCAGACTAATAGAGGGAACTTATGATATATTTATAAATGTTCCATACATTTTCTTTTTACTGTACAGGAATTAGAAAATAAAAAAAGACTACAAAAACAAGCTGCCACTACGCAAAGTGCCACGGAGGTTCGCTTGAATAGAGCTCTAGAAGAAGCAGAAAAATATAAATCGGAGCTAAGTAAATTAAGACAGAATAGCAAGGTATGGAAACATGGAAAGGTTTTGGTAGTGATCAACTTTGATAGCTTCCTCTTTTATGCAAGATTCAAAACTAAATAGTTTTTAAATTATAATTCTTGTCATGGTAAACATTTCTCTTTTGAGAAATACACTCAATATCAATATGTACATTTCAGTAAGTTAGAATTACCTTGCTTGGGCAGTTGCTGTAATTGGGTGATAGCACAACTCTTGGGAGGATTCACTCACTATTTTCATCCAGATCTTTATTTTGTGCCCATATTATATGCCAGACACTTTTCTAATTTTGGGATAAATGACGAGGAAAAGTCTCGTTTTATCTCGTTTGTTGTATCCTTCTTTGAGCCTCAATTTTCTAGTATATAATACAAGGGGCTATTTTACAGGTCACTGGTTCACCTGGAGGGCTCATTGAACCATAGGTTGCTGGGCCCCACCCCAGAGTTTCTGTTTCAGTAGACCTGGGGTTAGGCCTGAGAGCGTGCAGTTTTAACAGATTCCCAGGTGATGATGCCACTGGGTCTGATATAACATTTTGATAACCACTGTTACAGAGTTATTGTAAGGATCACCTTGGTATTCACAGTATCTAACAAATGATTGCCATAGAATTACCATTTAATTCCTAAAATATCTGTTGAATAAATGAAGGCTCAAATATCGATGTGTGTGAAGACATTTTGTATACTATAAATATTGGCTATAGTTTTTGGTTGTGTCAAGCTGAAAGTGTTGCTCCATTGGAATCTCTCTCTTAGGACAATATTTAACAATGGGTTGGGTGATGAAATTAGGAGCTACCCTAATTACATAAAATGATACATTTTAGATTAAATTAGCATAACATAGGGCACTGAACAAAACTGATCTTGGTAAGTCCTCCAACAAGTTGAATAGAGACAAATACATTGCAGTGACTAGAATTTTAAGATGCCTTCTGCGAGATGGTTTATGCTGTATGAACTTACTATATTCATATTTAAGAGCCATCAATGATGGCATGATGATGGGGATTTATCAATAGAAGTCATTAAATGAACAAATTAGGAAGTCTACAAACTTACCAGTAATTAGCATGTTATTACAGTACTAGAGGCCCGCTGCACAAAATTGTGCACTGGGGGATGTCCCTCAGCCCAGCCTGCGCTCTCTCGCAGTCCGGGGTCCCTCGCTCCTTAACACCCGCCTGCTTGCTCCTTACCACTCAGCTCGCTGCTCCTTAGTGCTGCCACGGAAGCGGGAGAAGCTCCCACCACTGCCGCTGCGCTTGCCAGCTGTGAGCCTGGCTTTTGGCTGAGTAGAAGTGGGAGTGCACTGACCACCAGGGGGCGGCTCCTGCATTGAGTGTCTGCCTCCTGGTGGCCAGTGTGTGTCATAGTGACCAGTCATTCCCAGTCATTCTGCTGTTAGGGTCAGTTTGCATATTACCCTTTTACTATATAGGAGAGAGGCCTAGTGCACGGGTAGGGGCCAGCTGGTTTGCCTTGAAGGGTGTCCTGGATCAGGGTGGGGGTCCCTTTGGGGTGCCTGGCCAGCCTGGGTGAGGGGCTGATGGTTGTTTACAGGCTGGTCAAGCCCTCCAGTGGGGACCCTTACCCCATGGGGGTGTGGCCAGCCTGGGTGAGGGGCTGAGGGCCGTTTTCAGGCTGGCCATGCCCCCCTGGTGACCCAAGCTCCCAGCCTCTCCTTTTTTTCTTTTTTCTGGGATTTATTTATCTTCTATAATTAAAACTTTGTAGCCTTGAGCGTAGCCCAGGGCCAGCCAGGGCAGGTGGGAAGCTTGGCTTTCTCCATCGCTGGGGGCAACCCAAGCTGCCTGCTCGCTCCAGCTCCATGGCTGCCATCATCTTAGTTGGGTTAATTTGCATAGTTGCTCCTGATTGGCTTGTGGGTGTGGCGTAAGCATAGCGGAGGGATGGTTAATTTGCATGTTTCTCTTTTATTATATAGGACTAGAGGCCCAGTGCACAAAAATTTGTGCACTCGGGGGGTGGGGGGGGTTCCTCAGCCCGGCCTGTGCCCTCTCGCAGTCTGGTACCCATCGGGAGATAACGACCTGCTGGCTTAGGCCTGCTCCCGGGTGGTAGAGGGCAGGCCCAATCCCTAGGTGCAGCCCCTGGTCGGGCTCAGAGCAGGGCTGATTGGGGAGTTGGGGCGCCGCCCCCTGTCATGCACAGAGCAGGGCGGATCGGGAGGTTGCGATGCCACCCTCAGTCACACTCAGGGTACGGCCGATTGGGGGGTTGGGGAGCTTCCCCCGTCACGCACAGAGCAGGGCCAATCGGGGTTGGGGCGCTGCCCCCTGTCAAGCACAGAGCAGGGTCAATCGGGGTTGGGGAGCTCCCCCCTGTCACTCACAGAGTAGGGCCGATAGGGGAGTTGGCGCACCGCCCTGTCACACACAGAGCAGGGCGGATCAGGGGGTTGGGGCGCCGCCCTCTATCACCCACAGAGTAGGGCGGATCAGGGGGTTGGGGCGCTGCCACTGTCACACTCAGGGCAGGGCCAATGGGGAGATTATGGCTCTACCCCGTCACACACAGAGCAGGGCCCGTGGGGTGGGGGGGTTGGGGTGCTGCACCCTGTCACTCACAGAGCCGCAGGGTGATCAGGGGGTTGGGGAGCTCCCCCCTATCAGGCACAGAGCAGGGCCGATCAGGGGGTTGGGCGCCTTCCCGTTACGAACAGTGCAGGGCCGATAGTGAGGTTGTGGCCCCGCCCCCTGTCACACACAGAGCCGCAGGGCGATCAGGGAGTTTGGGCGCTGCCCCCTGTCACGCTGATCCCGGTGCCAGGAGGACCCGTGGCTCCGCTGATCCGGTGCTGGGAGGCATATTACCCTTTTACTATATAGAATAGAGGCCTGGTGCATGGGTAGGGGCCAGCTGGTTTGCCCTGAAGGGTGTCCCGGATCAGGGTGGGGGTCCCCACTGGGGTGCCTGGCCAGCCTGGGTGAGGGGCTAAGGGCTGTTTTCAGGCTGGGACTGAAGCTCCCAACTGCTCCTTTTTTTCTTTTTTCTTTTTTTATTCTGGGCCAGCTTTAGCTCTGAGGCTTGGCTCCAGGTCTGAGGCCTCAGCTGCTTAAAACAGGTATCTGGTTTGTTTCGGTTCTATAATCGAAACTCTGTATCAGCTCCAGCTCTGAGATCCCAGCTCTCTGAAAGCTGGTTTCTGGGGTTTTGTTTAGCTTCTATATTTGTTACAGTGTTTTTTAAACTGCAAGCTCAGAGGCCGGCAAGGAAGGCGGGGAACGTTAGAGTCCTCCGTCACTGAAGCAAGCAAGCCTCATGTTCAGTTTAAGCTGCCTGGTTGCCGGCCGCCATCTTGGCTGGCAGTTAATTTGCATATCGCCCTGATTAGCCAATGGGAAGGGTAGCGGTCGTACGCCAATTACCATGTTTCTCTTTTATTAGATAGGACAAGAGGTCTATATAAATTCGTGCAAGAGTAGGTCTTCGCAGCCCTGGCTTTGTTCAGAAGGTCGTCCGGACAGTCATTCCATTTGGATATTACACTTTTTAAAAAAATATATTTTTATTGACTTTTTACAGAGAGGAAGGGAGAGGGACAGAGAGTTAGAAACATCGTTGAGAAAGAAACATCGATCAGCTGCCTCCTGCACACCCCCTACTGGGGATGTGCCTGCAACAAAGGTACATGCCCTTGACTGGAATTGAACCCGGGACCCCTCAGTCCGCAGGCCGATGCTCTAGCCACTGAGCCAAACCGGTCAGGGCATGCACATTACGCTTTTATTATTATAGATTATTTTAATTTGGTGCACTCTAAAGGAAAAAAAATGAAGTGAAATAACCAGTTATGTCAAAATTTGCTAATTCTGGTTATAGATTTGATCTTTATTTTAGCGCACACATTAAATAAGTAGAAAGTAAAACTTGCTTCCATGACAACAGATGAGTCCACTAATTATAGCCAGCCATTGTATAAATTCAAGTAATGACCTGGTATGTAAACAACTTGGTATAAAACCATCAACTTTATATAAACAACTTAGATGTGTTAAAGACAAACTTCCGACCCCAGGACTGCATTATGGGTGAGAGATTTAAACACAATGGGATGACATTTTGTTTGTATTACTGCCTATTTACTATCAAGTTTTCTTCCAGGTGTTTCATGGCTTTTGGTCTTAGATTTAAGTCTTTAACCCATTTTGAATTAATTTTTGTGGGTGGTGTAAGATAGGTGACTAGTTTCATTCTTTTTCCCCATTGTGTATTCTTGGCTTGTAAAGTATTAGTTGACCTTATGTGCATGGGCTTATTTCTGGGCACTTGATTCTATTCTGTTGGTTTATGTTTCTGTTTTTATGCAATACCATACTGTTTTGATTTCTACAGCTTTATATGTAGTTTGAAATCAGGAAGTATGATGCCTCCAGTTTGTTGTTCTTTCTCAGGATTGCTTTGTCTCTGGTATCTTTTGTGGTTCTATATAAATTTTAGGATTGTTTTTTCTCTATCTGTAACAAATGTCATTGGAATCTTGATAGGGAGTTGCATTGATTTGATAGGTGGCTTTGGTAATATGGACATTTTAATATTAATTCTTTCCATTTACGTGTCTCTTCTTTGATAACTTTTACCAATGTCTTATAGTTTTCAGTGTACAGGTCTTTCACCTCCTTGGATAAATTTATTCCTAAGTATTTTTTTTTCTTTTTGATGCAGTTTGTAAAGGGGATTGTTTTATTTCTGTTATAGATAATTTATTATTAATGTATAGAATCATTACTGATATTTTAATGTTAATTTTGTATCCTGCAATGTGAGTTTGTTGATTAGATCTTAACAGTTTTTTCAAGGAGTCTTTAGGATTTTTTTCTGTATAAAATCATGTAATCAACAAATAGACAATTTTACTTCTTCCTTTCCAATTCTGATGCCTTTTTTTCTTGCCTGATTACTGTAGCTAGGATTTCTGGTACTATGTTGAATGGGAGTGGTAAGAGTAGGCACTCTTGTCTTGTTCCTGATCTTAGAGGAAAAACTTTCAACCTTTCACCATTTACTATGATGTTAGCTGTGGACTTGCCATATATGACCTGTTATTATGTTGAGGTATATTCCTTCTAAACCTAATCTGTTAAGAGTTTTTATTATGAACAGATGTTGAATTTTATCAAATGTTTTTCAGTGTCCATTGAGATGAGCATGTGATTATTTTCCTTTATTCTGTTAATGTGTTGTGTTACATTCATTTTCATGTGTTGAATCATCCTTGCAAATCCAGCAATAAATCTCATTTGGTGTATAATCTTTTTCATATGCTGTGGAGATCAGTTTGCTATTATTTTGTTGACAATTCTTGCATCAAAATTCATCAGGGATAGTGGTCTGTAGTTTTATTGCAGTATCTTTGTCTGGCTTTGGTATCAGGTTAATGCTGGCCTCATAGATTGAGTTTGTTGTTTTGTCGTCTTCAATGTTTGGAAGAATTTGAGGACAGTTGGTATTATTTCTTCTTTTAATGTTTGGTAGAATTCACCAGTAAAGGCATCTGATACTGAGCTTTCTGATCACTGTTGCAGTCTCCTTACCAGTCATAGGTCTGTTTACATGTCCTATTCATTATTAAGTTGTATTAAGTTGTGAGTTTCTAGGAATTTATCCATTTCATCTAGGTTATCTGGTTTGTTGGTATTCATAGTATTATCTTATGATCCTTTGTATTTCTGGGATATCAGTTGTAATGTCCCTCTCTAATTTCTGATATTTGAGCCTTCTCTTTTCTAGGTAAAGGTTTGTCAGTTTTATTGATTTTTTTTCCAAAGAACCAACTCTTGATATCATTGATTTTTCTACACTATTTTTCTATTATATATTCATCAACTCTGCTTTAATCTTTATTATTTCCTATCTTCAACTAACTTGGGGATTATTCTTTTTCTAGTTTCATAAATTGTAAAGTTGATTTAAGATCTTTTTTAATGTAAGTATTTACAGCTATAAATTTCTCTTACAACTTTTTTCACTGTATCCCATAAGTTTTGGTATGTTGTGTTTTCATTATAATTTGCCTGAAGATATTTTCTAAATTCCCTTGATTTCTTTGACCCATTGGTTGCTTAATTCCCACATATTTGTGGCTATTGCAGCTTTCATTCTGTAATTGATTTCTATTTCATTATATGAAAAGGAAAGATACTTTGTATAATTTACTAAGATTTGTTAGTGGCCTAATGATTGGAGAATGTTCCATGTATATTTGAGAAATATGTTGGGTGGAATGTTCTGAATATGTCTATTATTATGTCTTGGTGATTTAGAGTGTTAGTTACTGTTCCATTAATCTTCTGATTGTACTATCCATTATTGAAGTCTCCTATTATTACAGAGCTATCTACTTCTCCTACCAATTCTGTTGATGTTTGCTTCATATACTTAAAAGTTCTGATATTAGTGCATATCCTATCTAATAATAGACAAACATGGTAATTAACTGTACCTCTGACACGCTTCCCACTGGCTAATCAGGGCGATATGCAAATTAACTGCCAACCAAGATGGCGGCTGGCAGCCAGGCAGCTGAAGTGAACAGGAGGCTTGCTTGCTCCAGTGATGGAGGAAGCCAAGGTTCCCTGCCTGCCGCCACCCAGCTCTGAGCTGCACTCTAAGCAACTATGTTGCAATTATAGAAGCTAAACAATCCCCAGAAACCTGCTTTTAGCCAGCAGGGCCTCAGAGCTGGAGTTGCAACAGTGTTTCAATTATAGAAGCTAAACAAAGCCCAGATACCTGCTTTCAGCAGCCGAGGTCTCAGAGCTGGAGCCAAGCCTCAGAGCTAAACCTGGCTCTCAGCTCCAGTGACAGCCATAGAAGGTAAATAAATCCCAGAATTTAAAAAAGAAAAAAAGGAGAGGTTGGGAGCTTCAGTCACCCGCCAGCCTGAAAACAGCCCTCAGCCCCTCACCCAGGCTGGCCAGGCAACCCAGTGGGGACCCCCACCCTGATCCTGGGACACCCTTCAGGGCAAACCAGCCAGCCCCCACCCATGCACCAGGCCTCTATCCTATACAGTAACAGGGTAATATGCAAACTGACCCTAACAGCAGAAGGACTGGGAATGACTGGTCACTATTACACACACTGATCATCAGGAGGCAGATGCTCAATGCAGAAGCTGCCCTCTGGTGGTCAGGGCGCTCTCACATGGGAGGAGCTCTGCTCAGCCACAAGCCAGGCTGATGGCTGCCAGTACAGTGGTGGTGGTGGGAGCCTATCCTGCCTCCTCAGCAGCGCTAAGGATGTCCGACTGCAGTTTAGGCCTGCTCCCCGCTGGCAAGTGGACATCCCCCGAGGGCTGCTGGGCTGCCAGAGGGATGTCTGATTGACATCTTAGGCCCAATCCCCCGGGGAGCGTGCCTAAGCCAGCAGGTGGTCATCCCCTGAGGGGTCCCAGACTGCAAGAGAGCACAGGCTGGGCTGAGGGCTCCCCTTCCACCCCAGTGCACAAATTTTTGTGCACCGGGCCTCTAGTATATTTATAATTGTTGTAGTGCCTTAGTGAACTAACCCTTTTATCATTATATAATGTCCTTCTTTGTCTTATAACTGTTTTGACTTAGTCTGTTTTGCCTGATCTTATTAGAGCCACACCTATTCTCTTTTGGTTACTATTTCCACGGAATATCTTTTTGCATTCTTTCATTTTCAATCTATGTATGTCTTTAGATTGAAAGTGAAACTCTTGTAGACAGCATATAGTTGGTCCTATTTTTTTAAACCCATTCTTCTAGTATATAGGGAATTTAATTCATTTATATTTCACTTTATTACTAACAGGGAAGAACTTCCTGTTGCCAATTTTCTTTTAAAGTTTTCTCATCTTTTAAATGTCTTGATTTCCTAAGAGTCTTGGCCCTACTTCTCAGTGCCTTAGATGTATTTTATTCCTCTGCCCATAAGCTCTTGCCCCTAGGCACCTGTAGTTCTGCAGACCCCCTACAGTCCTCATGTCCAGCAGTGCCCACCCCTACTTTCAGCAGCTCCAACCTAATAGTCAGACTATGCCACCATTCCATCAGGTCAGACAAAACAGTCCCTAAGGCACCCTCATATAAGTCAGAACATCAAACCAAGTTCTGTTCTTGTTCTTTCCATCCCAAGGGAGGCAGTGGGGAAGGTGAGGTGAAAGGGTGAACATACATGCAATGTCATTTCCTAGTGTTTTAAATGTGGTTCTTGCTTGGTTGCTGCTGCTTACTTGACTTCTAGAGTTCTCACTATGCTACAGTAATGTGTGTACTGTATATTCAGTGTTTCCATGGGAGTTCCTTGGGAGAACAAGGGCTCTGGGGCGTCCTACTCTGCCCTGACATCACTCTCTATTTAAAAAAATAATTTAATCTCTATTAAAAAAAATAATTTAAAGTCATGTTTACTATTTTACCATATTACTATTGCTGTTATTTGTTTTTTCTTTATGTGTATGTAGGTTCAGATTTCCTTCTGGTATCATTTTCCTTTTGCATGAACGACTTTACATTATTCGACAACCTGCTATACGTGAAAAAAAGTTACTTTCATTCAATGTTGTTTGTTATAATGTTGATGACATGCCATAGAAACTTATTTGTTTGTATCAAAATTGATTTCATTATACATAGTTTCTCTGATATTAAGCAAAATAATCTACAATGCTAAGTGAGGACTTACTATATAACATCTTCCAGTACTTAATAAGTTCTAACCTGTCTCACTTGTCATGGACAGTGGCTGCACATGGTTATTTAGGTGTCTGCCAAGGATTTGAGGGGAATATTTAAGTAGATTTTAAGGACTCCATTCTTTCGAAGATTTCCCATGGATAAGACTGTTATTTCTGATTTGAGGTCTATCCCCAGCGAACTGATGAACTGGAAAGTACTCTCAATCAATATGCTTCCATTTTTTTCAAGGGTCATACCACCACCACTTTGCTATTGATTACTCACCTACATCTTCAAATGTTTTAAAAATTGTGTCCAGAGTTTATATCTGCTACTATCTGGAGAGCTGGTCCAATACAAGCTATTTTACTATTACTGGAATATAACAAAGTTGTTATTTCAAAACATTTTTTTAAAATGTAAATGTGAGACTTGAACATCTTTAAAAGTTATCAAAGTTACAGTAATTTAGTAATGCAAAGAAAACTTTACCAAGAATTTATATTTCAGTTCATTATAGTTTTTATAATCTTTTTCTATTAAAAGAGTGAAAAAGGTATATATGGAACTTATTTTTTTTCCTTTTGTAGGATATAGCAAGTGAAGAACACAAAAAAATTGAAGCATTAAAATCAGAAAACAAGAAGCTAGAAAAACAAAAAGGAGAATTAATGATAGGGTTCAAGAAACAATTAAAATTAATTGATGTTTTAAAAAGGCAGAAGGTGAGTGTACCCTAAAAGAAAACCCATCAATATTATTTGGAGCTCTCTACTAAAATATTTACTAGTGTTTGTACTTCAGATATGTTTGTTTAACATGCTTAGGCACAAAAGTTTATATAAGATTTATTTATAATGTGTCATCCAAGGAAGTGGATATTTTTATGCAAGTAAATTAGTAATGTGGAGAATGGGACTGGTAAATACAGTATGGGTGCTTCCTAAATAAAGAACATACCATATACAAGAGCAACTTGGATTGCCTCTTGGAAGAGTGAAAATTGATTCCAAATCACTATTGTTCCATTCTCTACATGAGTCACCTGGTAGTGAGTAGACATGAATTCATGGTTCTGCCTCTTTTCCTTTTTGCAAAGGTTAGGTTAGGTATTAAACTATTATTGAATTGTCTTTCAACAGTTAATTGGTGCAATACCACCATTGGACAAATAGGCTTTTATAGGCTGACTCTTGAATGTAATTACTGTTTCATATATCATGTTTATTGGAATTAGAGTACAGATCCCTACAACAGAGCTTATAATTTGATAGCATTGTATACACACACTTTTACAAACTTCTGTTGTGTGGTTTATTCTTAATACTAAAGTAAACGTCTTCATAGTAATTTTTTTTTTTAAACACAGATGCATATTGAAGCTGCCAAGATGCTGTCTTTCACTGAAGAGGAATTTATGAAGGCACTTGACTGGGGAAATTCTTAAGTGGGGTATTTTAGTGTCTATAACTAAGTGTGTGATGGTTATACATTTTATTTAGCTTAAGTTATAATGGTTTGAATTATTTTTACTCTTAAGAAATGAGTTTATCTGAGAGAAATTCTGTTTTAAGTTCTTATTGACAAATAAAGCACTTTGGAATTCCTCACCCTTTACTTTTCTCCTCCCTTACAGTAGACAGAAAAGGATGCTTTACTTACTCTAAAAATTAATGTTTAAAAAACATACTATATAGATTAGTTTGCTAAGGCCGCCATAAGAACCACAGACTTGATGGCTTACACAACAGAAATTGTCTCACAGTTCTGGAAGTCTGAGGGCTCTCTGCTCCCCATGATGTCACATGCTCAGAAAATGGTGCTTTAAACCCAAATTACTTATAAATACTTATTTCCCTGGCCAAATCAGGCAAGTAAAGTTCCTAAACACAAATGTAGACAGAACTGTAGCCTGAATAGGGATACAGAAAAAATTCTGAACAGTATGGAAATGGTAGTGTCCATATTTATATACATGGAATGTTATAATATGCTGGTGTAGAACTCAGATATTCAGTACAAAAACAGCAGTTAATTTTGCAGTTGAAAGTATTTATTCATTTTAATTTTTATCAGAAAATAAATGTTTTCTTATAGAGAACCACTTACAAATGATGAAATGGAGATGTTTTAGAAAATTCAAAGACAAGAGTCCTATCACTGAACTGTAAAACAAAACTTACACTGACATCTAGTGGTAACATGCAAAAAAATCCAGGTTTTACCAAATCTTGATATCACTTTTCTTCACAAATCTTACTCCTTTTCTGATATGCCTTCTTAAACTCTTCACCAAGCATATCAATATCATCCTCTGTTTTGAATACTCCCTACAAGAAAAATATTTGTGGGTTACTTTGAATACCAGAATATTTCCCCAAATGTTTGTGAGACTAGCAAATAGAATTGAAATTTGCAGTTGTTTCTAAGATAATTAAATCTCTTTAGTAGAGTTATAAAAAAAAATGGTTATTTTCTGAAAATTACACCTTGATATGAATATTCTCAGACTGACCAGACTTCCTGATTTATCAGTTCCACTGTTGGAACTTGTCATAGGAATCTTCTATTTTATAAGTACTACTACTTGGACTGGCTGAATGGGAAGGAATTTAATGTATACTGTAGGCTACCCTGTCTTGAAACAGACCTACAATACAATTATGAGGGGTCAGGGTGAAAAGTTTGAGTTCTGCCAAACTTTGCCAAGCATGAGACTGGCTCTTGCTTCAATTCTATGGCTAATCAGCAAACATGCAATCTTGCAAGAAAGAATGAATCCAGGTTTGGATTTTAGCCATTTGAATAAGCCCTTTAAAATTCTTTAGGCTTTTATTTTGTTTTCCCTTATAGTAAGAGGCGGCTCTTTAAAACAAAATTGAACTTAAATATTTACTTATAAAGGATCCAAAGAATAATTTAGGTCATTTGGGGCCATTAGGACCTAAAGGATAAAAAGTCATTTTAGGACATCAGGTTTATTGGATTCTCCCCATCTCCACAATTATTTTCCTACAAAAATATCTAAATCCCAAGACTCTCCCAGAATCTGTAGTCTGTTTCACAGAATTTATCAATTCCATGTGGCTGTTGTCATTAATATATCATTTTGTATTCATTAATCCTATCTAAACAGATTATAAGGTCTTGAGGGCAGGCAATAATTATTCATGTTTCTCTTTCTCCTTCCTTAATTTGCATTGGGCTAAATATAAAATATTCACTTGATTCTTCCAATTGACTAAAATATCAAATGGCATAATTTCTGTATTTGAAGGATGGGAATACACAAGTCCATGTTTATGTGGCCTGTGAAACTCAGTTTATAGTCACAGTGTATCTCAGATGTACGTGAAATTAGCTAAAAATTTTAAAAACTAGTTACTAGTGCCTAGTGATAACACAACCTCCTACTATAGAGCAGATCTGTCATAGACTCAGTTCAAGCGTGTGCCTGTCACTGGTATTACTGATTACAAGGTTTTCCTGTTGCAAAGTATCACAATTGCTTTATAGTAGTTTAGTTTTGTAACACCTACACTGAACGGTGAGAAAAGAATCTCTAAACCTTAAATTCAATACATTTAGCTCATACTTCTAAAACTGTTCCAAGACCAGCTCTCATTTTGGAGATAGTCAATGAGTGGCTAAAATCTCACTACTACTTGGTAATAGCAAAAAGTGAGCAAAACCCAGGACCTTGTAATCCTAATACATGTTTTTTTTTCCCCACCAGTAGATGTCATGAGGCTTACACTTTGAGTTAAATCTCACTTACTTTAGGGAGATATCCTAGTAATTTTGTAGCATGTTCTTGGAGAAGTTTTAGTCTTTCTTCTTCAATAATGGCATTAATACGTCCTTGCCTACTTTGCTGTAACTGCCATTCTTCCAGTTCATGTTGCTGGAAATGTAAATAAAATTTTATTAATTGTCACACAATACATTAATCTTAAAGAAGTTGTCAAAACTACTCTTGCAGTGAATTAGATAAAAGTGATGAACTATTTATTGATACTAATTTCAAAAGAGATTAGGTGATGTACAGGGTGGGGCAAAAGTAGGTTTATAGTTCATATGGAAAATGATACAGCAATTAATACATAATAATATAAGAATTGTGTTTTGTGTATTCACAACTGTAAACCTACTTTTGCCCCACCCTGCATATATATCATATATATTATATATATATCTTTTACAGTAATTATTCCTTAAAAGTTATAAGAACAATACAAGGTGGAGCAAAAGTAGGTTTACAATTGTTCATATGGGAAATTCAATAATAAATGATACAAGAATAAACTTGCACATACAACTGTAAGCCTACTTTTGCCCCACTCTGGTTATGACTGGGATTTTAGGAGGCAAGTACACATTTTCAAGACAATGTCTTCATTGCCAAGGAAGAAATGTTCAAAGTGATTTCCTAATTAATTCAACAAATATTTGGCAGGTGCTGAAGGCAGGTTCAGTGTCTGACAAAAAAAAAAAAAAAAAAAAAAAGGATACAACAGAATAGGGATATCTGAAAGAAGTATTTCCATATATTAAATTTTAAAAAGCCTGTATGAAGTATAAAAATAGCATCAAGAGTTCTGAATACTCAACCACACCAAAATTCTGTGCTATATGATGTGGAAGAGATGTCTGGCTTTAATAAGTTTTAGGGCTTAAAAGAACTCTTAAGGAAATATATCCAAAAAATCCTGGGAAGGATGTTAAAAGGCAGTACTGAAATAGTGATGAATTCCTACCAAGAATTACTTTAGTTAAAGTAGTATTATTAATGCAAAGCTTTTCTTTGAAATAACTAGTTTACAAGGGTCACTATTTCTTCGGACCACTCCTTGTCAAAGTCATGGAAACAAGAAAGGAAGAAAATTATGTATCATATATGATTAATAGCTATCATCTGGCACATAAAAGGTTCTCAGTTAACTGTTTACTGGATGAATACATGAGCTGATTGCTGTTAAATAATAACCAAAAAAAACCCACCCCCAAAAACATTTTTTCTTACTTTGTCTGCAAGGAACTGGTTGTGACGCTCTTCAATAAGTTTTTCCACAGCCCTCCCGTGTTCTAGTTGCTTCATTCTTCGTTTGTGAGCATTCATTAATTCTATTCGATCATCCTCAGCAAGTTTAGCTAACATAGCTTTTCTAAAGGTCTCCTCTTCCTCTTTTGCAGCCTGTAGTACTAGTTCCTTCAAAGCCATTTGTTCTGTAAAATTTTGCTTTAACTCCTTTTGCTTTCTCAACTTCTCTTCTGCTTCTTCCTAAAAACCATTTATATATAGAAGTTAATTCAGTAACTGTTTCTTTAAAGCAGATTTCTCAAGAAAGGGTAGAATAGTTTGATTAAGCTTAGTGTTACAATGTGAAATAGAATTGAGAAATTAAGCCTTTTCAAGATAACACTTTGCACTATTTTAATACTGTTTGGATAAAGGGCAGGTTACGTTTGAATTGCCTTCTATTACTTGTTTTTAAATTTTAATTTGTATATATTGACCATCTTGTTTCTGGACTCAGAATTAACACATAACTACTTTGAAAAGAGCTGATATAAAAACTTTTTTTGCTCACCTAAGTTTATTAAATCTGTGTTCTGTGAAATTTGTACCAACTATGAATGATTCTAGAATCTTGCATGAAACTATTGTTAAAATCATTGATAAGTACTTTTCAGAACAATAATCCAGCAATGACAACCAGAAGTTTTTCAGGGAAATTAAAATTTACTAGGAAGAGTTAAAAAGTCCTTTTCTATAAACTTTAATTTTTCCAGCATTTTATTATGAAAAATTTCAAACATAACCAAAAAAATATGAAGAATTTTATAGTGATCATTCACATACCTTACACCTGGATTCTACTAATAATTGCTTCATCACTTGATCTGTTCAGTTAGGACTAATGCAAAATTTAAGTCCTTCTCTAATCTAACCAACCGTGCCCAATTATTACACAAGCTCTTGGTAGTACAGTATCCTGAAGGCATTCAAAGTAACACAAATGTTTTTTAAAAGGAGTGGGTTTTAAGTGAGCCAATCTGCAGTATCAGTTATAGCAACTTTGATCATTATATTGTGTATTCAACCTCTTCACTTAACCCTATTTATCCCCCTTTTCAAATCCTACCTCCTCCATAAAGTCTTTTCTAATCACTCTAATTCATATTTCTTTTTTGGGGACTCAGATACCATTTAACTTTTCCATCATTCATCATTTAATTTTACTTCATATGTACATGCCTTATCTCCCCACTAAAAATAAATTCCTAGTAGGCAATCTTATTTTTCTTTGAGCTACTATTTTCTTTATCAGTTTATCCATTGGTGTACTCTTAGATATTATTTCCATATCTTGGCTATGTAAGGCTGCAAACTGGACATCCAAAAGCAAAAACTGAACCTTGACCTAAGTCTCACACCTTATGCAAAAAAATAACTGAAAATGGATCACTGACTTATAAATACAAACATCTAAAACTTT